ATTTAAACACATAGACTTGGCCTTTTCGGCGCAGTAAAATATACACAGCCGCATGATAGTCGCGGTGAGTTAGGAAGCCATTCTTTACGAAAGTACGCCACCTCTTCTTGAAGTTTTCGTTGCTTCTGTCCCGTTTCTTCGGCTGATCTTGGGCGTATGACATAGTCGATCTTTTTCTCTGCTGCAGGATGATGTTTTGACTTCTTTATATAGACGGTGGACGGCGTTGTGGTGCCACAACTAGTGAACCGGTTTTGCGTGCAAAACCATGCCTACAAGCAGTTACACTGGCTGGGCAACGCCTGAAAGTCTTGGGGGAACAAGTTTGCAAGGGCCAGCCTCAGGCTGAATTGGGAGCTGCCTCACTATTCCTGGTTTAGCTGGTGTTAACTTGGTCTTGCTAGCTTGCGCGGGCCAACGCCTTCCGTGGCCTTGTCGCGGCGCTGCTTGCCTCCTGTAGCAGCCACTAGACTGGAAGAAAGCTGCCACACTGGGCATGCGCTAACCAACTCTAGGCTACCTCCAGTGGAGAGACGTGTACCAGAATCGAATGCAGCCACGTTTGGTACAGACGCACTGTACAGCACCCCCCCGCACAATAAAACGGCCTCCCCAGCCCAGCGGCGAAAACCGAATATCCTGTTCGCTGAAAGTATCTGGTTTAAGCCGACACGATGTCTTGCTCTTGGCATTTTGCGTCTGGCGAAGATTCGCGCAATGCAGGAAATATCCTAGCTATTCCGCAGGAGGACACTTGCGCCAATATTCTCTAGCCAACTTGTAGAGCAGCGCTGAACGGGGCCAGGGATGCGAATTTGGAAGCCCATAGAATCGCCCGGAACACCGCCAGTTGCAACAAGCCTCCTGTATGGCCACTCGAGGTGCTTGCTCTCCAGAGGCTTCCTATGCTTCCCCAAGATTTCTCGGCGGGGCCTTGTACCCGCACTAGCGGCATGATCGCATGGCGCAGGCACGAGATGTGTTTTGCAGAACCACCCTCCCTTGCATGCCAACGTCACTGGCATCCCCGAAGCCAAACAGTTCAGGAAGAACTGTCAACCGAACAAACCCAATCTTACAATTGCCGCATCCAACATACATCTCTTGTATAGTAATCTTCTGCGTGCAAGACCATGTGTTTCAGGGCCTAACGCAATATTCTTATGACTCATACCAGGCCAGCCCGCTAAAAATAATCCACCTACGTAATCAGGTGCACTAGCGCCAACCGCTGTCACCTTTTAAGCACAGCGCACCCCGCTATTCTGTTCGTCACCCCTCTCGTTTCTGACCCTTCGTCTCTCATTCCAGGTCCCTCACTCTGCGGATCTGGTCTACGTTCAAGGTGTCAAAATGGCTAAGAACGTAACACG